GGTTCGGGGATGGGTTTGGTGTGATGCGTGAGGGGGGGTTTGGGCGGGGCATGGTGGAGGCGACGAGGGTGACGTGGATGGCGATGGTGGTGACGTGTCGTTGCGAAGGATGCTTGCGTCAGCGACCAGTGATGACGTGTGCAGAGCCAAGGAGGCAGTTGCTGGGACGGCTGTAGCACGAGAATGGAGAGCGAGAGAATAGAAAGCACCATAGAGGGATCACAGAAGGGAGCAATTACGCGAAAGGAAACACGAGAGGTGGAGAGGGATTAGAAGTGAAGGAAAGCGGTAGATTAGCACGAGGTAAATTCTGCTGTTGAGTCGACTCAAAAGCACGAGGTAAAGTCTCCTTGCAGCCCGCAAAATGTATTTTTGAGACGTCTCAAAAAGAGAGATCAGACTTGAAGGTATTAGCACGAGGTAGATTCTCCTTGCAGCCCGCGAAGTGATCATAGCATTGAAACTGAGAATTTTTAAAGACTGAGAACGAGGTGTGGAACTGAATCCAAAAGTAAAACTAAGCCAGTAACGAGATTTTCCTGGAAATAACGACGGAAGCGACGGAAGCAGAGGGTGGGTAGCAGGAGGATGAGACGATCAGCAAGCAGCAGAAAGCCTTTCCGCGTCGTTCTCAATAGGCGATTATCACGAGAGCAATCGCTGCGCGGGAGCGGGGTGAATGGCGGATAGTTTCAGGAAAAGATCGCGAGAATATGACCTGCGAGGGACCGCGAGAAGACTCCGCTTAGCGCCTTGCGGGATAGAGTAATTGCCGCCATGGCTGTTCGCGCCGATTGTGACGAGCCGAGTCCAAGAATGCCGCCACGAAAGAAACAATGGGATGAGATGAGGATGAAACAATGTCTGCGTTATCAACGGTTGCCTCGTTGTCGCTACAATGATGGTAATGTCGAATGCAAAGAGCTGGTACCATAAAACATTTCAAAAAATTAGGGTACAAAAAAACCCGTAAATGACTCTACACCAATACACTATGCATCAATCCAGCTATCTCCTTACAACAGCTGGAACCCGTACCATTAGTCTGTGATGCCCCTCTGCCATTCAACCTGTATGCAGATACAGTAGATATGATTGGCAACGCTGTTGAACTCTGTGCATGTACGACACTTCGTTAATGGTGGAAATATTACACGTTCAGTACAGTTTATATGTCAGTACCATTTGGACCGCCATTTTCAGCTGCAGTGAGATATGCATGCCTAAGCAGTGCATTTACTCTACACCTAAGCGATGCTTCGTCCTCTAGCAAGTCACCCACAACATGACGAAATGCGCTGTCCACCATATGAACCCGGCCCAGTACACTGCCTCTATCTTCACTCTGTCGCTCTCCGAACGATTCATCATAGCCATTGATTGGCACCTGCATGGCTGCTGCAGACATACCACCAAGTACACCACTTCTATCATCCGAACGGCTCGTATTTGTCTCAAATCTGTTGCTATCGAGTGCAGAAGCTGGGCTTCCAGGCTTCAGAAGACGTGCCTGCATGGTGGAATCGTGAGAAATGGGAAAGAAGAGTAGCATATGGAGAACTGAGATGGCTCAAAATCCGAGAGAGAAAAAAACGCTAAGTAGCAGGCAGGGAAAATGAATTGCACACCGCACAGCAACACCTACATTGAAAAGCAAGGAGGCATTTGGAGAAAACAGAGTCTCCAGGACTTGTGATTCCTCGCAGCACACACCTATGGAAACATCACAACACCTCTGATCGCACCAGCACGCACCTCTGCTGCCAGCAGCTTAAGCCGCCTGTCCGACGTAACCAGCAGCTCCATCTCCTCTTGCACTCCTGCTGTGAGTGCTGCTGTGATAATATAACACCACTGCTCTGAATCACATACCTCTGCCGCCAGCAGTTCTAGCCGCCTGTCTGACGTAACAAGCAACTCCATCTCCTCTTGCACTCCCGATTCCCCCCCTCGTTTTGCCCCAGCACTCTCTGCTGCTACCTGCTCCGCCTCCTTGTTCCCTCCTCCTGCTCCTCCGCCGTTTCTATTCATCCCATCCCCGCCTCCTCTCTTGCTGACTCCAGCCCTTTCACTCCCTGAAAGCCGTTCCACAGTGGCGTCTTTCATGCGCTGCCGCAGCAGCCGCACCTCGTGAAGGAAGCGCTCTGCCTTGGATTGCCATGCCGATATGGTACCACTGTGCGCCTCCTGTTGGGCCTGGAGAGGGCAGTTGGGAAAAACCAGGGGGGAAAGGGGCTTACGAGGGAATCACACTCGTCTTTCATGCGCTGCCGCAGCACCCGCTCTGCCTTGCCCTGCCATGCTGCTACGGAAGTAGCATGCGTGCTTTGTTGGGCCTGGAGGGGGACACAGAGAGAGAGAGCAGGGGAAAAGGGTGTGAATGGGAGGCACACACCACACCACAGCAGCGTCTTTCATGTGCTGCCGCAGCACTCGCACCTCCTGGAGGAAGCGCTATGCCTTGGCGTGCCATGCTGATACGGCAGCCCTGCGTGCCTCCTGTTGGGCCTGGAGAGAGATAGGAGGACGGGAGAAGCAGATTGAACTCAGGAGGCTTTTGACTTGAACTGAAGCAGCACTCGCACCTCTCTGCAGTTCAATTCTAGCCAAGCAACAAACAACATAAATCCAGCCCAGCAGCCCATGTGGCCCCTCAAAACCCACGAGTAGATGATGAATTGTAAAGCGCCTTAGAGGCAATCAACTGACCAACCAATCACATACCTCCAGCTCAGCTGTCCGCTCCTCTGCCGCCCGTCTCTTCCTCTCAGCTTCAGCAACAGCTTGCCGAAGGACCTTCACCTCTCGAGCCAACAGCTTTGCTTCGGCCCGAGCCTGAGCCTCGGACGCCTGCACAGCTGCCAGCTCAGCAGCCTTGTCTTGTTGTGCCTTCTGGTGCTCCTCCGTTGCTGTCTGTAGCTGCTGCTGTAGCTCTGCTTTCTCTTTCTGCATGAGTGGAGTGCGGTACACAAGGGTGAAAAAGATACATGTGAGTCGAGACAAGAGCCTTTTGGTGCTCCACCGTTCCTGACAGCAGCTGTTGCTGTAGCTCTGCTTTCTCTCTCTGCTTGTGTGGTGGAGTGTGGTACACAGGGGTGACTCCAGCTGCCACTCCAGCTGCCACTCCCGCTGCCACTCCTGCTGCCACTCCCGCTGCGACAAGCATGTCCTTCCCCTGTCTACACGCATGACTCTCCTCCAGTCGACCCACACTCTCCCCCGCTTCACCAAGAGCAGCCTTTATCCTCCTCTGCCTGCCACTGTGCCGCAAGCTGCCACCCCCACTCCCACTGCCACAAGCCCATCCCAGCACCCCTTTCCCCGGCTACAAGCCTTTCTCACCTCCAGTCTCCCAACAGTCTCTCTCGCTTCTCCCAGTGCTGCCCGGTCCTCTTCCGCCTGCCACTGTGCCGCCAGCTGTCACTCCCACTCTCAAAAGCCCATCCCAACGCTCCTTCTTTCGACTACACGCACAACTCACCTCCAGTCGTCCCACACTCTCCCCCGCTTCACCCAGAGCAGCCCGGTCCTCCTCTGCCTGCCACTGTGCTGCCAGCCGCCTCAATCACTCACCTCCAGTCGTCCCACGCTCTCCCTTGTTTCACCCAGTGCCGCCCGGTCCTCCTCCGCCTGCCACTGCGCTGCCAGCTGTCGCTCCCGCTCCTCCCGCACCTCCCTCGCCACCTCCGCTCGCAGCTTCCTCCGTTCTGCGTCTAGTTCAGCTTCCAGCCCTCGCACCTGCAGGATGAGGGTAACAGTCAGTGGGAGGGGAGAAGGGACTGGTCATACCTTATTACCTCTCGCTCCCACACCTCCAGAACCTCCCTCTCCTCGCCACCTCTGCTCGCAGCTTCCTGCGCTCCGCATCTAGTTCAGCTTCTAACCCTCGCACCTGAGCCAAACAGGGGTGCGGAGAGGAGCCAGTAGTTATAGGAGCATAAGCCTTTTCTCTAACCTTAATATTGCCTTCCTCTCACCTTATAGAAAAGGCTTATGCTACCAGTCGCCGCCCAAATATGCCCCCCTCCTGTACCTTATCATCTTTCTCTCACCTTGCTTGCTAAAAACTCCTTCACAGCAGTTTCTTGTGCCACTCGCTCCATCAGCTCCCCCATGTCCGTCTGGGCAACTACCAGGCGCCTCCGAAGCCCCATCAGCATCTTTTTCACCGCTGCCCGTTTCTCCTCGGGCAGGCTCAGCGCCACCTGCCCAGAAACGCCTTGGACTAGCTCTGCCATGAGCTCTGCGTCGCCGGGGTGTATAGTGGTGTGTGGTGGGGTGGTGAGGCCTGTGGTGCTGTGTGGTGCAGCGGTGTCACTGGGATGTATGGTGGTGTGTGCGGTGGTGGTAGTATCAATAACAGTATGTGGCAGCACACTTGCATGCCCATCCATTCTACCATCCACACTCCCATTCGTTGCCAACCTCCCCTCCCCCAACTCCTTCCCTCCACTTGACCGTTCACCCAACTCCTCCCTTTCAAAATGCCCCCCTCCTTCACTCTCCCTCCCGCTCCCCACCAGCACAGCTCCCACCTCTCGCCTGCCCATTCCCATACCTCCATCCCCAAAATGCCTCTCCCCTACTCGTGCCCCCTCATCGTCTGCTCCCCGTCCTGCTGGTGTCTGTGTGTCATCTATAGCCCTCTCTACCTCTCCGCCCGCACTTGACAGAAGTCCATCTCTGTTCCCCTGTAGTCCACTAGCCACATGCTCACTGTTAGCTGCAGCACTCTGCACCTGTATATGCGTGCTCCCACCACCATCCCCCACTCCTGCAACCTCTCTGCTTAACGAAGATGCCTCAAACGAGGCAAGAGGGTGTGAGGCAGCGACCAGGAGAGGAGAAATCTTCTGAGATTTCTCAACAGCAGGCGATTCAAGAGGTGCTTCAAACGAGGCGAGAGGGTGTGAGGAGGCGGGGTGAGGGGAGGGTGTGACAGCAGAGGAAGCGACAGAAGAGGCATCTGAAAAGTCCCGTGTGAAAGCCACCATGCGGGACCCATCGTGGTACTCAAACCCGCTCCCTGCGTCGCTCCCTCCTCCGAAGTCATGCCCCATATTATCACTCCCAGCTGCTGCCGCCGCCGCCGCCACTGCAGCTGTATTCGTTTTAGTCACACTGCTAGCTGCCGATCCGCTTCCAAAACCCCACAAACTTAAGCCTCCCACTCCCACTCTTCCTCCTTCTCCTCCTTCTTGACCTCCTCCTCCTCCTCCTCCTCCTCCTCCTCCTCCTCCTCCTCCTCCTCCTCCTCCTCCTCCTCCTCCTCCTCCTCCTCCTCCTGCTGCTGCTGCTGCTGCTGCTGCGGTTGCTGCAATTGCTGCTGCGCCTTTCCCTGCAGCATTCGCTACAGGTGCCCCCACGGCCCTCCTCCGCCTGCCAGATGCTTCTAGAATGTTCTCGTCTTCCTCTGCTTCCCCCTCCCCTCTCTCCCCCTCCTCCTCCGCCTCGTCTTCTGCCAAAGCAGCTGCAGGAGGCACAGGCAGAGGGGGAACAGGGGAAAAAGGGTGGGGAGCGTTTGAAAGGTGCAACAGGCGCTGGGGGGGAGGGCGGGTGGGGGGTGGAGCTGCTGCTGCTGCAGCCACGCATCTAGAGCACGGCGCCGCTGCTCCAGGCAGTGCTTGGAGTATCGGAATGTAGCAACGCCACCCTTACTCACCTGCTCTCGCGACCCTTTCCAGCTCGAGGAAGGCCGCCATGGGGCGAGAGCGGGACACCTCCACATCATCCAGCAGCTGCTGCAGCCACACATCTAGAGCACGGCGCCGCTGCTCCAGACGGTGGCTGTCGGTGGAGATTCTTTGCAGTGGCAGCTTGGGAGGAGGGGCGGGGAGTCGGCGACGATCAAAGGAGCGCAGAAGCTGTTTTGAGGCAACGTGGGGAGAACGGGAGAGACATAAGGGAGGGAGGAGGGGAGAGAGATGGGTGGGGTTTGAGTTGAAAAACGGGAGTGAGTGCACAGCAGCTGCTGCAGCCACACGTTGAGGCCGTGGCGCCGCTGCTCAAGACAGTGGCTGTCGGTGGAGACTCGCTGCAGCGGCAGCTTGGGAGGAGGGGAGGGCAGGCAACGGCGGTCAAAGGAGCGGAGAAGCTGAGCGGCCGAACAGTGGAACGGGGGAGCGGGAAAGGGGGAGCGGGAAGAGGGAAACGAGTGGAACGAATTAGAGAGGGTTAACTTGAGGCATAGAAGACGTTGCTGTGTGGTTTCTGCAACATCTCACAACGTGTACTGAAACGAGACGTTTTGAACGGGTAGGTAAAACATGCACATATCTTACCATGCTGTAGAGATTGATGAAGTCGGAGAATCTCCTGGGAACACGAGTGACTGAGGTGATGCCTCGGGGCGACCGCACTCCCACACACACGTGGAAGAACTGAAGTGGGAGAGAAGACGAAGAGAGTAAGAAAGAAAGGCCTTTGAGTTGGATCAAACAAATTTTCTGGGGAACACGAGTGACAGAGGTGATGCCGCGGAACGGCCGCACTCCCACACACACGTGGAAGAACTGGGAAGAGGGAGAGAAGCAGGAGCAAGAGAGAAATTATTTGACTCAGCATGTTCTCCTGAGAACATGAGTAGTGAAGGAGATGCCTCAAGGGGAATGCGCTCGCACACACATGTGGAAGAACTGGGAAGAGGGGGAGAGAGAAGGCGAAGAGAGGAAGAAACTAAGGCATCGAATCAAACAAATCTCAGGGGCGATGCGTCAGTGAGACCGCACTCCCACACACACGCCCAGATCGCCACTGCCACTCCCACTCCCACTGCTGCCGACTGCCCTTCCTATACTTCCTCCTGACAACTCCCAACCCCCCTCTGGTACTCACCACGACAGGAGCCGGATCAGAGGCTTTGGGGTTGGGGAAGGGCAGGGAGATCAGAGACGCGCCCAGATCACCACTGCCGCCCCCTCTGCTGCCCCTTCCGCACTTCCTGCCCCTCAGGAGAGAGAACCCCCCATACGGTCCCCCTCTCGCACTCACCACCACTGGCGCCGGATCAGACGCCTTGGGGAAGGGCGCGGAGACCAGAGGCGCGCCCAGATCGCCACTGCTGTCCCCTTTGCTGCCCCCTGCCCCTACTGACAACCTTCCTAACAACTCCATAGCCCCCTTATGGTACTCACCACGACAGGAGCCGGATCAGACGCCTTGGGGAAGAGGGCGGAGACCAGAGACGCACCCAGATCGCCACTGCTGCCCCCTGGCCCTGGACTCCTAAGCCTGGCCCCTCCAGAAGCTGTTGCAGCAGCCGCAGCACCACCAGCAACGCCAGACGAATTAGCAGCGGCAGCACTAGCAGCAGCAGCAGAGGAGGTGGGAGGATAGGCGGGCGTCCAGGTGGGAATGAGGGTGCAGAAGGCCCAGCAGCCGTCAGGCACGTGCGGCCATGCTGTGGTGCGCCGACCCGCCTGGTGTGAAGGGGGAAAAGAGGGAAACGGAGGGAAACCATCAGCACCACCAGAACCACCAACAGTAGCACCAGCAGCAGCATCACTACCAGCAGCAACACTACCAGCAGAGGCGGGAGGGTAGGCGGGGGTCCAAGTGGGAATGAGGGTGCAGAAGGCTCAGCAGCCGTCAGGCACGTGTGGCCATGCTGCGGTGCGCCGACCCGCCTGGTTTGTGGGGGACAGGAGAGAAACAGGTGTTGAGCAGCCTCAGATTAAGGGGAAGGGAAGAGACTGGAGGGGACAGAATAAGGAAGGAATCGATAGGAATTCCAAGACGTCCAGTGGCCGAGTGAGTCCAGCTACTTGGTAGGTAGGAAGTGAGTGAGTGCAGGTAGGGATCGAAGTGGCTGGGAGAAAATCTGGTGGAGTGGAGGTGTGATTCAGAGAAGGAGGAAAGAGGAGGGAAAGTGAAAGAACCACAACAGAAATCGCCGGAGTTGGAAGGGGATTGGTGGGATCAGGAATTTCCTAAATGCGGGACATGCCGAAATCAGGAAGAAATTGCCGGAATGAGGGAGGATGCCAAAGGAATAAATTGCGAAAAGAGAAAGACCACATGCGCAGGCTCTCAGAGGAACCCTGGTGAAGGTTACCAGCTGGGGGAACTGATGAGCATAAACTGAAATGGAACCAGCGAACATGTTCTATAAAGGCACTGACGAACACGATGAAGTAAAATGGAATCATAAGGAAAGTCGCAGTAGGAGAAACGGACCCAGTGAGAAGGCGGCGGGGAGGAGTCCATGCCAAGCGGTAAGGGAGACGTGCCATCGTGGCGAAGGCTGCGTGCTAAGCGAACTAGTAGTGTAAATAAACAATGATGGAACCATCAGAAGAGCCGTAGTAAAAGAAACGGACCCAATGAGCTGGCGGCGGGGAGGAGTCCATGCCCAGCGGTAAGGGTGACGTGCCATCGTGGCGAAAGACACGTGGATTCGACACCGTTTCTCCGCCACGTTGCTGATAATGTTGACTCTGCTGACGTGGATCGATCTGCTCCTTCCATCCTGTGCCTTCTTGGCCTGAATGCCGTCCTAACATGGTTGCGAAACAGTACACCGACTTCTGATATTTATTCCGGATTCTACACAGTTCCTTGAATTGTCGCTTGGACGAAGAGAATTCGCGACGCGTTAGAAAACACGGCGTAGCCTCCGTTCAGCTGGTCGCGGAAGCGAATTCAGGAGACCGAAAACTGCTTCTAGTCCGACCGTCGCTGCATCAGGTATGGTATCTAATGCCAAGGAAGCATGGTAGTGGTTCCTGAAGCCTTGGAATTTCCGAATTGGAGGTGCCGTGCGTACCTTGGTTTTCCCACCCTGCGATAATTTTTATGACTAGCAGATTAATAACGCTACAAAATAGCTGCGAAAAGTGCACCCCTTAACGAGTTCAAAATGCTGCCTATATGGAGGAAACCAGCTTCCAGGCGAGATGGGCTTCTCTTGTGGGGACCAACCAACCAACCACCAACCAGCTCCAATCCAACTCCAGGGCAACACTGTTCCGTCCCTGATCAAACTGGCTCTTGTATTCCGAACCGAGTCTCTGCTCGCCCGCAGCATTTGGCCACCTTTTTCAGCAATTTTGAATCCGCTCCCTGCATTTCATTGTAAATTGCTTCGACCTTCTGAAGCTCGTCTCCAAAGTTTCCTCAGATCTCGAGCCACTACGAGTTGCTCTATTGACTAGAAATGGCCGACAGACTTCCTGGGGTGATCGCTCTGTTCGATGTGGATGGCACCCTCACGCCGCCTCGGAAGGTGCCTCGTTCTGTCAACCTATCTGTCTTGTCAAGCATCATGCTCCTGATCCCTACTTGCAACATAACGACCTGTAGCATTCCGACGCGTAACAATCTCTTCGCGCGGTTGTAACATTTTCTTCGCCTTGTCTTCGCCGCTGCTGTGCTGCAGCTAGTGGAGCCAGAAATGGTGGAGTTCATGCAGAAGCTCCGCAAGGTAACATATTTCCCCAGTTCCTCCACCCCGTCTTGCCTCTCGGCCCAGAAGGCTTGTTTGACAGTCTCCCAATCTTTCTCGAGCGAAGGACCTGAGTGCGTTTCTTTTTATTTCTGCGGTTGATGTTATCAGACAGTGACCGTTGGCATCGTTGGAGGATCGGACCTGTCAAAAATTACCGAGCAACTGGGGCCTGACAGTAAGTGATGTCAGCTTTAGCCTTATCTTGATCCACATCACCACTCGAATTCGTGAAGACAGTCAAAGAAACACGGAAGAATCCCTCTAACGCAACATTGCCCTTTGCAGCCTTGACGGCACACGACTATGTGTTTTCTGAGAACGGCCTCGTGGCACACAAAGGCGGAGAGCAGATCGGTAGCCAGGTAGGCGATTTTGAACCACATCGGTCGGTAGTCGTGGCACAAGCACTTCTCCATGTTTAGATATAACTCTGCTGACCTGTTTTGACTAAATCCGACTATCTGTGTGAATTTCAGAGCCTGAAAACCTATCTGGGCGATGATAAGCTCAAGGTAATGGGGGTCTGGAGTTCTTCTGCACAGTACCGAAGTCTAGGCTCTCATCGCCTGAACGAAGCGCGTGGTTGTTATGCAGGAATTTATCAACTTCACACTCCACTACATTGCCGACCTTGACATTCCTATTAAGAGGTGAGTCAAGGCTGCTGTATTGTTCGCAAATACAGTTTTTTTTTTCTTTTTTCTTCTTTCTTTTTTTATTTTTGCGTTTTCAAGTTGGGAGGCTCTTGTTTTGCATTGAATCCCTCTATTTTCTCCCTTTGGCAGAGGAACATTCATAGAGTTCAGGATGGGCATGCTCAATGTGTCTCCTATCGGACGAAATTGTAGCCAAGAAGAAAGGGATGAGTTTGAGCGATATGACAAGGTACAGTCCAGTTGGTTGTGTTTGATCTAGTGTCATGTTACACCCCTTCATGGAAACGAGTCTTTGATCCGGGCTCCATCTTTCACTCATTGACCCCCACCCTATACCCTGCCTACATCCCTCACCAGGTTCACAAGATTCGTGAAACTATGGTTGGAGTGCTGCGGGAAAAGTTTGCAGATTTGAATCTGACGTTCTCGATTGGTGGCCAAATCAGTTTCGATGTGAGTTTCCGATTGTCACTCGACCACTCCCTTTGTCCAATACTTGGAATAGATCAGTCAAAAGGAATATCAAATTAACGCGACCCTTGCCTACCAGGTCTTCCCGACTGGCTGGGACAAAACGTACTGCCTCCAGTTTGTTGACAAGGACTTCCCAACCATCCACTTTTTTGGAGATAAGACGTACAAGGTATGTATATGGCTCACAAAGATACGGCATAAGCGAATTAGGACAGTTTTGGCTAAACTTGTGGGCATTTTCTGATGCAGGGGGGCAATGACCACGAGATCTTCATTTCAGAGAGGACCATTGGCCACACAGGTAATCTTAGTCCGTTTGCTTTAAGCTCCATATGGCTGAAACTCTGTTCTCATCTTTCTTTATTTCACTTGCTTGCAGTGACTAGCCCTGCTGACACTCGAGCCCAATGCACTGAGTTGTTCCTCAAATCGGCTTGACAGCCTGGTGAAGCGTTAAGCTGTGGAAGCAACTGAATGGTTATGGAGTGTTTTTTCAACTGTATGCAGCTCAAGAGTATCAAATTAATTCAACGTAAAATTGAAAGGCAGTAACCGTTTATCAGAAAGCTGATCAAAACAATCCTTAGACCTCAGAGCCGATGAGCAAGGATTCATAAATCTTCCACTGACAGGAACCTCGCGCATAAAGAGCAGGCAAGATTACAGTATCTTTTCAAATTTCGGGCATGACCCGCCTTCATATCATTGCCTACTTGAGGCTCACTTGGCGGATCATCTTCATCGTGCCTCCGAAACTCTAAGAGGGGAGGCACTCAGATAAGATCAAGTGAGAAGAATGACGAAGGTGTGCTGAATTTATAGGCCGATGAGGAATAGACTGTTGTGACAGGAAGAGCTGGTCGCACCAAGTGAGGGTATTGTACCCTGTTCACCAAGAAACACGGGAAACTGGCGATACTGGAAAAACACTCAATAATGGGGGCGGAATCATTGGATGTTCCAAAGTACCAGCGGATATTCCAACCTTCGGTGGACCTTCTTCAGGAACTAAGTCATAGTACATCTGCGCAACTCGGTGTGAATCTTAGTCATGGAGCAACTGCATCCTTCCAACACTCGTTGACAAACATTTCAGGGCAGCCCCTCGCTCTCACTGGCTCGTCCACATGTTCAGCGGAATCAGCTCCACTTTTTCGGGCTACTCTGCCCAGCTGAACACTTTTCGTGCTGACAGGGCTCCCCGTAAGCCACTGAGCGCACTCCACCACAGCCTCACATGCTTCCTCGAGAGCCACCCGTCGGCCGTCCGTAACGTCACCCAATCCACAAATACAGATTTTCCACGTAAGTGCAGCTATTTGCAAGGTCCTGTTTTCCACGTCAGATGAAATTCCTCTGATTCCATCAAAGCTGGAATCCTTGCTTCGCGCGTCGTCTGGAGGTTTGCTCTCCACCACTTCCATTTCATTCTCTCTGATCTCATCACTTGAATCCTCCACTATTCTAGAATCCATCAGTAGATTGTCAGCTCTCCCATTCCCTGTTACTATCCGTTCAGGCTCGCTTCAAGTCCTTGTGCTCTGATTCCTTCTGTGCGTTTGCCACTGTCTCAGCCTCTCTTTAATTATTTGTTAGCTGTTCCGACCGTTTCACACCAGCATGGCAACAGCTACTGCTCATATCTCCCGTTCACCGCTGCACGTCGCGGCTGCAGTGGACGAGCGTGCTGCTCCAAGCGTTAGAAATGTTTCAGCCATTCGTTCGTTGAAGCGGTTTGTCGGGCTGCGATGCCACAGCACGGCCGTTAGGGTTCAGCATGCACAGGTCAGGGTAGCGCAGAGGAGGCTACAAGGAACGGTTTCGGCCACAGCCACGTCAGCAGATGCGCCTGCAGCTGTGTCGTCTTCATTTATTGGAGTGACGACCGAAGAAGGTGAGATAGCCTGCTTGCATTCGCATTTGCGTTCGCATTTGCATTTGCCAGTTTTCGTGTTGGCGCGAACCAGGCCACTTGGAAGGTCATGTGCTACGGGTTGAGAAGAGGACTTGTTTGCAAAGTCTCCCGTCCAGCGCGGGGCCTTCCTCGTTCTGAAAATGCGTTCCGCCTTCTTGTTGCATCGAGTACATTGAAACACGCTGGCCGCGAATAAGATCGCACGAAGAGTTGTTAATAATGTCGTCAGTCGGAGCCGTTGCAATGGGCCATGTAGCGAACCCTGGGTTCTTGAAACATCTCGAAACTCTGTATCGAACTCTTGGCTTTGGCTTCTGCCTCATCGGCCGTTATATGGCACGCAGCTGCCATCCTTTCCGCCTCAATTACATTCTCGCCATCTCAATCACCACCCTCGAAACCTCAATCATCAGCGCCTCCACCGCATCGCACGGCGTACGATCCCATGATCGTTCTCTCCCCTCCTTACTGACGTCATCATCCGCTTCCGTGACTTGACGTGCGCAGAGATGATGGACGCGATAACCAAGGAGGCCGCCAAGTACCGTCTGCCCGAGCGCGTGGTGCTGGGAATGCGCGATTTCTACCACTCGTACGCGAATGCGGTAAGCTGTAATTCGCGATACACACAGGCAGTCGCGTATTCGAAGTAAGCTTGGCACCTCTCATATCGTTCGTGTTCCCAAGAGCGTGGTGCTGGGAATACGCAATTTCTACCACTCGTATGCGAATGCGGTAAGCCGGTCGACGTTGCCACTCGTACGCAAATGCGGTAAGCCCGTCATTACCAAATGTTACCACTCGAACGTGAATGCAGTAAGCGGTAATATTTGACACACTTAGTCAATTGCGTATGCAAAGTAAGATTGGCACCTCTCAGATTGTTCGTCTGCCTGATCGCGTGGTGCTGGCATGCGCGATTTCTTTAATTCGTACGCGAATGCGGTAAACTCGTTATGGTACCACTCTGACGCGAATGCAGTCGGCTGTAATTTGATGCACACTAAGTCAAACGCGGATTAACCTTGGCACCTCTCAGATCGTTCGTGTTCCCGACCGCGTCGTGCTGGGTACGCCCGATTTCTACCATTTGCACTCGAATGCAGAAAGCTTGTCATTGTCCACTGCTACCAATGCCAGATGCTCGGAATCCCTCGTGTCCCCAAGCTCATCCCTCCCCCCCCTTCTCCTCTGTCGCCGCGGCCTCTCTTTCCCTCCTGCGGGTTGCGTCCAGCGGAATGCCAGATGCTCGGAATCCCTCATGTCCCCAGCCACAGCGTGAGCTCCCATACCAACACCACTCGTGACGCACCACACCCATGTCCCCCCCGCACCCCTTCCCCCCTATGTTGCCGCGGCCTCCCTCTCCTCCCTTCAGGTTGCGTCCAGCGGGATTGAGAATGCAGAGCAGCTGTCTCTGCAAATCATGTCGACCGTCTTCGACAGAATCATGTTCCAACTCAAGGTGAGTGGTGGGAAGCTGTTTTTGGTGAGAGGTAGGAATGATGAAGTGCCTTTTCAGTCACCTCGTCTCCCATGCAGAGCAGCTGTCTCTTCCAAAAATATTGACTGTCTCAGACAGAATCATGATTCAACTCAAGGCGAGCGGTGGGAGAGAGGGAGGCATGATGTAGTGGCTTTTGAGTCGTCTCAAAACTCAACCCGCGTGCAGAACAGCTATATTTGCAAATCATGTTGACTTTTTCAACAGGAGTATGGTTTGAATCACGGTGAGCGGTGGGAGCCTGGGAGAGAGGGAGGGAGGGAGGAGGATGGAGTGGAGTGGAGTGGAGTGTTGCTCATGAGGAGACGACACCAACGTTTCTATTCATAAGCAATCTCGCGCCGTCCCACAAGAACCATGGATAGGGAAGCCTTAGGATGAGAGCCTACCTTATGCAGGCGAAGAAGCGTGAAAGCACGTTTGTCTGAAGCCGTCTTAAAGCAAGCGTGTGCAGGAGAAATATCAGAAACGAAGCGTGCATGCGGAACTTGTGCAAAGGTCAGTCCATGATGTCTTCTCTTCGTGTTTGAGGCGCCTTTCAAGTGTGAAACTTTTGTATTTGTCTTAGGTCAATCAAGTGTTCTTTTGAGAATTCTCAAAAGTTACTCCAAAAGTGCAAAATTTGTGCAAATATAAATCCGTCAAGTCTTCTCTTTGCTGCCTTACCTTCATTTCCCATTCCCACTCCCTTCCCCCTCCCGAAATATATGCGACCTTCTATTTTCCTTTTCCCCTTACATCACAGTCACATGCACTGGAGCTTCACACGTTTTCCACCGTCTGGGTGTTAAGTGACTTGGAAAATTTGAAGTCTTTGACCAGAAAGGACATGGGTGTTACAAATTGTTCACCTTGTTTTTTTTTTCCCCTTTTTTTCTGACTGTAATAATCGATTCACAGGATCGTCACCAGTTTGAATCGCACCATCTGGCCGTGCGCGAGCCGTATGACTACTACGCCTTTGGGCAGAACTACGTGCGGCCCCTCATTAACTACTCGTAAGCAGCATGCGACTAGTGGAGTGAGAACAGTGCGCTCATTGAGTGTGCTCTATTCGCATCTACTGAAATCTGTGGATATTCGTTTTTTTTTTTTTCACCACGAGTCTCGTATATTCGACCGGTCTACATAGCAAATGTCACTCCCTTCCTTCTCCCATGTGACAGGCGATCTTTCATCGGCAATGTGAAGATTTTTGACAAGATTCAAGCCGACCTTGATGCTGTGAGGGCTTATTTCTTGATGCTGTGCTGAGTGTGCTGATTTTTCAATCGTCCCAAATTATATATCATTGCTAATGTGAATGTATTTGACGAGATTCAAGCCAACCTCGACGCTGTGAGCATATGAGTGCCTCTGATTCTGCGCCTTCCCTTTTTTAGGCTCCTCAAATCAAAGCACTGCCTTCCTCGCCTGATGTCTTAGGGTTCAAGGCCAGAAGCACAAGGGTTGTGGTTTTGCGGGCTCTTTAGCTTGTCCAGAAATCCGGATAATCAGAGGGGTGTGTTGAAAGTGATGACTGAAGCAGGTACTGCCGATTTCGCCAGAGCAGCAAGAGAGGGAATGAGCAAGAGGGCGTGAAGGAAGGGAAAGCGTGCGAGGGAAACGAGGGCGGCAGAGGGAATGTGGCCAACAGGCCATGCTCTCAACAGCACAGGCAGGAGGCAACCAGTTACCCTGTAACTTTGAGGCTGCTCCTGTCTGCTGCTGCTGCTTCGTCCCCTTCGCTGCCTCTTCCCTCCACGGCTCTCACTCCCCTTATTTCTTGCTGCTGCTGGTTGCGTGATGAAACTGAAAAAGCAATCCTCTGATTCACAGACCCTCCTGAAAGCAAGCGTTGGCTGGCTGTCAGACGAATGAGGTGACTCTGAGTTTTCTGAGTCGCCTAAAGAAACTTAAGACGCTGGTTCATGCGGAAAGAGCATCTGGCTGGTGTTTGTTGGTTGTCATTGCTGTCATTTCTATCGCAATCCAACCTCCCACAAAGGGCCCACTCGAAAGCTAACCTTTCTTTCACTCCTCCCCGCTTCACGAACCCCCCCCCCACACATCCCTCTTCCTTCCGCTTCCCCTCTTTTCCATTCATTTCCTCCTCCATTCTCCCACCCGTCCCACCAACACCAGGGTCACAGCGTGGTGCTGATGACCAACCAGCAGACAGACGCGGACCCCGCTGTCATGGCACTCATTGCACTCACTCCCTCCGTTTCTCTCTCACTTCCTCTTTCCCTCCCTTTTTCTACTCCTTCCAACACCTCCCCTTCCCTATCGCACCCCACCAGGGCCACAACGTGGTGCTGATGACCAACCATCAGATCAGACAGAGGGGACCTTGCTTGCTGTCAAGGCCTTTATTGCACTCCCTCCCTCCCTCCGTATCTCTCACATCCTCGTTTCTCTCCTCCCAACCCACCCCACCCCACCCATCCCACCAGGGTCACAACGTCATCCTGATGACCAACCACCAGACAGAGGCTGACCCGGGTGCCGTCACTCTCCCTCTCCTCTATTCTCACTCTACCTCCCCCTTCACTCCCATCCCGCCAGGGTCACAACGTCATTCTGATGACCAACCACCAGACAGAGGCGGACCCGGGTGTCATTGCCCTCATGCTCAAGAACAGCCACCCGCGCCTGGCCACCAGCATTGTACGTCAAACTGATGTGTGCCGTGTGCTACACATCGTATTCTGCTACCCCTCGTCTCACTGCCCTCATGCTCGAGAACAGCCACCCGCGCCTGGTCACCAGCATTGTATGTCAAACTGATGTGTGCCGTGTGCTACATATCGTATTCTGCTACCCCTCGTCTCATTGCTCTCATGCTTGAGAACAGCCACCCGCGCCTCGCCACCAGCATTGTATGTCAGCCTTGCTGTGTGTACCATCCAATATGCGTCATGTGCCATAGGCAATGCTCTCATGTGATGGCCCCGCTGTCACTGCTCTCATGCTCGAGAACAGTCACTGGCCCCTGTGTACAGACGTACGTGGCGGGCGACCGAGTTTTCTTCGACCCCTTCTGCGTGCCCTTCATCCTCACCCCTGCTCACTCGCCCCCTCTGACCTTTCCCAACCCCTCATGACACCGCCTGAACTCCCCGTGTGTGCAGACGTACGTGGCGGGCGACTGAGTTGTCTTCGATCCCTTCTGCGTGCCCTTCAGCCTCACCCCTGCTCACTCGCCCCCCCTGACCTTTCCCAACCCCTCATAACCCCAACGCCTCAACTCTCCTCACCCCACCTGACCCCGCCGTGTGTGCAGACATGCGTCAGCCTCTTCCATGCTCACTCACCCCGACCTATCCCAACCCCTCATGACCCCCCCTCACCGCGCCTGAACCCTCCGTGTGTGCAGACGTACGTGGCGGGCGACCGGGTTGTCTTTGACCCCTTCTGCGTGCCCTTCAGCCTCGGCAGGTGAGAGGTTCAGTGCGGTGTGTCACCCCCACCTCATCACCCCGCCTCGCCCCGCCTCGCCCCTCCTGAACCCCCCTGTGTGCAGACGTATGTGGCAGGCGACCGTGTTGTGTTTGACCCTTTCTGCATGCCCTTCAGCCTCGGCAGGTGAGTGGATGTTAGTTCGTGTATGCGTTTGTGGCAGGTGCGTGCATGGGCAGGGTTTAGGCAGAAGCACCCTTCAAAACACCCCCTTTCACCCCTCGAAACCCCTGGTACCCCTCCTTACCCCTCAGGAACCTGCTGTGCGTGCACTCCAAGAAGCACCTGAACAACGGGCCAGAGCTGGCAGCGCAGATGCTCACTTCACCGCATTGAGCCCCCCTCCACTTCTTCCAACTGCCCTCCACCCCTCATGAACCTCCTGTGCGTGCACTCCAAGAAGCATCTCAAGGACGAGCCAGAGCTGGCAGAGCAGAAGCTCTTCCCTCCTCAGCATCCCTAAAAAATCCCACTTTATCCCTTTTCAAACTCCCCCTCTACCCCCCTCATTTCCCCGCCACCCCTCAGGAACCCCCTGTGCGTGCATTCCAAGAAGCATCTCAACGACGAGCCAGAGCTGGCAGAGCAGAAGCTCTTCCCTCCTCAGCATCCCTAAAAAATCCCACTTTATCCCTTTTCAACTCCCCCTCTACCCCTCTCATTTCCCCGCCACCCCTCAGGAACCCCCTGTGCGTGCATTCCAAGAAGCATCTCAACGACGAGCCAGAGCTGGCAGAGCAGAAGCACCTTCCTCCTCCTCCTCACTCTAAAAGCTCTCCCTTTACTCCAAAAACCTCTCCCTTCACCGCATTCAACTCCCCTCCATCCCTCAGGAACCTCCTGTGCTGCACTCCAAGAAGCATCTCAACGACGTGCCAGAGCTGGCAGAGCAGAAGCTCACTCCACCGCATTGAACCCCCCCCCACTTCTTCCAACTGCCCTCCACCCCTTAGGAACCTGCTGTGCGTGCATTTCAAGAAACATCTCAACGACGAGCCAGAGCAGAGCAGAAGCACCTTCCTCCTCCTCACCCCTTAAAACTCTCTCTTCACTGCATTCAACTCCCCTCCATCCCTCAGGAATCTCCTGTGCGTGCACTCTAAGAAGCATCTGAACTACGTGCCAGAGCTGGCAGAGCAGAAGCTGGCTCCACCGCATTGAACCCCCTTCCACGTCCTCCAACTCCCCTCTACCCCTCAGGAACCTGCTGTGCGTGCATTCCAAGAAGCATCTGAACGACGAGCCAGAGCTGGCAGAGCAGAAGCGAGCGGAGAATCGAAAGACACTCAAAGTGATGTCGAAGCTGTTCAAGAAGGGAGGCAACTTTGTCTGGATCGCTCCCAGTGGTGGTCGCGACCGCATCAACCCAGATACCAACTACGTGCCTCCGGTGAGTGCATTCCGGTGGGTGCTGGGGTGTGTTTGAAAGGGTAAGAGGCTCAGAGAGGGCAAACTCACAGTGAATCTCAAGGGGGGGTGATGTCGGAGCTGTTCAAGCAGGGAGGCAACTTTGTTTGGATCGCTCCCAGTGGCGGCCGTGACCGCATCAACCCAGACACCAACTACGTGCCCCCGGTGAGTGTGCTAGCAGGGTAGGAGGAGGTGTAATGGGAGGTCTCTCACGGTCATTCTGAAGGGGCTAATGTCGAAGCTGTTCAAGCAGGGAGGCAACTTCGTGTGGATCGCTCCTAGTGGCGGCCACGACCGCATTAACCCTGACACCAACTACGTGCCCCTGGTGAGTGTGCTAGCAGGAGGGGTTCGTTTGTCAAAGGCAGTGAGCAGTGGGGGCAGTAGGCAGTGGATTGACTCTGAGGGAGAAAGACGCTCAAAGTGATGTCGAAGCTGTTCAAGCAAGGAGGCAACTTCGTGTGGATCGCTCCCAGTGGTGGGCACGACCGCATTAACCCCGAGACCAACTACGTGCCTCCGGTGAGTGTGCTACAGGAAGGATTCGTTTGTCAGGGGGCAGTAGGCAGTGGATTGACCGTAAGGCAGCAGCTCGCTCAAAGTGATGTCGAAGCTGTTCAAGCAGGGAGGCAACTTCGTGTGGATCGCTCCCAGTGGCGGCCGCGACCGCATCAACCCGGATACGAACTATGTGCCGCCGATGAAAAACAAACTTTGTTTCTCCTTCTCTCCTCTCCCTGCCTCCCTGGCCCCCTGCCTCCCTGCCTGCCTCCCTGCTTCTCTGCCTCTTTCGATCTGCCAGTCCCCGTTTGACTCCTCTGCAGTGGCTCCCATGCGCCGGCTCACATCGGAATCGAAAGTGTGACTTTGAGGTGAATAAAAAACATTTTTTTTTTTTTTTTTCCTTCTCTCCTCTCCCTGCCTCCCTGCCTCCCTCTCTCCCTCCATCCATCAGTCCCTGTTCGACTCCTCGGCTGTGGCTCTCATGCACCGGCTCACATCGGAATCGAGAATGCGCCTTTGAGGCGCCTAGAACACAAGCCCCACTTCTCCTTCTGCTCCCTGATTCCCATCTCCCCTCTCCCACCCCCTTCCTTCCATCCGCCAGGCGGCCTTTGACTCCTCCGCTGTGGCTCTCATGCACCCTCTCCCCGTCTTTGAGGTGCCTGTAAAACACACTCGGCAATTTCTCCCACCTTACCGCCCTGCTCTCCTTCCTCCTTTCCCCCCTCTCCATCCGCCAGGCGGCCTTTGACTCCTCGGCAGTGGCTCTCATGCACCGGCTCACATCAGAGTCGGGAATCCCCAGCCACCTGCACCCCACCGCGCTCTACTCATACGACATCATGCCGCCGCCCCGCACTGTAAGTGACCATAAAGGGTGTACCTCTCCCTTGTAACGAGATGGCTTATATTGAATCCCCTATCACCTGCACCCCACCACCCTCTACTCATATGACATCATGCCGCCACCCCACACTGTAAGTGACCATAAAGGGTGTAGCTCTTGCTTGTAACGAGATGGCTTATATTGAATCCCCTATCACCTGCACCCCACCACCCTCTGCTCATATGACATCATGCCGCCGCCCCGCACTGTAAGTGACCATAAGGGGTGTAGCTCTTGCTTGTAACGAGATGGCTTATATTGAGTCCCCTATCACCTGCACCCCACCCCCCTCTGCTCATACGACATCATGCCGCTGCCCCGCACTGTAGGTGATTAGTTGCTTTCTGACAAGGAGGTGGCTTGTATTGAGTCCCCGTCCACCTGCACCTAAGGTTCTGCACGGTATTTCTGAGAATGATAAAAAACCCTAAGAAATACCCTCCACCTGCACCATGGTTCTGTACTATCATGCCACCACACAGCACTGTAAGTAGCCTGGTGTAACTTCTTGCTTATAACGAGGCGGCTTTAATCAAGTTCACAACCACTTGCAAAAGGACGTGCTCCATTAAAAGGGGTGTTGGTGTAGTCAAGAATATGTTGGTGTACTTCTGAGAAATTTCAAAGGGAAATGTTTGGGCACCTTCCCCAGTTACCCTTCGTCTCACTCCAACCTCCCGTCTTCCCCCTCTCGTCTCCTGGCAGCTGAGAAGCAGCTGGGGGAGAAGCCGATCATCTGCTTCCATGGCGTGGCGCTGAGAGAAGAGGGTGACGCTCAGAGGCTATGTTTGTGCCTTTCTCTTTCTCACCCTTCTCTCCTCTCTCCCCCCATCCTCTCCTCTTCCCACCCTTCCCCTCCCATCTTTCCCGGCAGCCGGAGAAGCAGCTGGGGGAGGCGCGCTTCATAGACCTTCACAGGGGATGGAGTGGGCCACGGCGCTCACACACCTCTCTCCCCTTTCTCTCTGCCCCTTCCCACCCCCCTACCCATCTCTCCTGGCAGCTAGAGAAGCAGCTGGGGGAGAAGCGGATTTTCGGCTTCCATGGTGCGGCGGTGAGGGCGACGCACAGAGGCCACGTTTGTGCCTTTCCCTCTCTCACCCTTCTCTCCTCCCCCCTCCCTTTTCTCCTCCCCACTCCCTTCTCTCGGCAGCTGGAGAAGCAGCTGGGGGAGAAGCGAATCATTGGCTTCCACGGGGTGGCGCTGAGCGTGGGGGAGGAGGTGGACTTCGGTGCTGTGACTGCTGGGATCGAGGACAGGAGGGAGGTGAGTGATTGGTGAGAGTAGTGCAAGCACTTGATATTGGTCCTGTGTGGGGGAGGAGGTGGACTTTGGTGCTGTTACAGCTGGGATGGAGGACCGGAGGGAGGTGAGCGTGGTGTGCTTTTAACGAACTTGTAAGGTGAGAAGGAGAGGGAGGTGAGGAGACGAGGTGGGTGGGGGACAGGAGGGAGGTGAGGAGACGAGGTGGGTGGGGGACAGGAGGGAGGTGAGTGGTTCATGTAATATTTTCTTCCCCATTTCCGCTCGCCTCTTTCCATCCCACTGCTCCCCTCGCCTGCCCATCCTCCGTATAAGCAGGCTCAGGAGAAGTACAGCGACGCGCTGTTTGCTGCAGTGGAGGAGCAATACGACCTGCTGGTGCAGGCGGTGCAGGAGAAAGGGTTAGAGGCTTCCACAGATAAAGTCAAGCTGGAGCAGACATGGCTGTAGCAGAGATGACATGCGGCTGTAGCAAATGTGGGACGTGACTGTATCGATGTGACTGTAGCTGATACGGCTGTAGCAGTTGTGGCAGGAACTGACATGGGCTGGTGTGGTTGGGCGAGGGAGATTACTACAGTGGCCGTGACAACATGCTTCATGTTTTATTTTATCTTTCATTGTTTTTATAAATGTAGGTCGCATTTGAGCTGCAGTTAGTTCATGTAGGTCATAAGAGTTTGACCATAGAAGCTCTGTTATTTTTATACAGTTGATTTGTGACAAAAAAGACTTGCAACAGGACATCATAGCTATCCAGGCAAAGCTAACAATTTAATTATTGCATGAAAATAAGCTCTATTGTAGTATTTGGGGATTTGTAAAAAGAGTGACTATGTGAGCAAATAGGAAAGCCCTTAAAATGAAAGGTGTATACTTTGAATATATACGGGGTGGTACTCTACATCATTTTTGTAAGTACCATGAGAGAACTGCATCACACATCCTAACCCCATTCACTCTAACTTGATTCCAATACGGAAGCGCAATCACCGAGTGTGCAATTCCCACCATTATAAACACACCATTATCCTTCCCCCTCTGCTGCACGCTCTGAACCAACTTCCCCACATTTTGTGCTGCCCAAAGCGCTGCCAATTGCTCACTGCTAGTACACTCCTTACTCGCTTGTTTCGCCGATAAAATCAGTGCCAGCTGCCGCGGCGAGCTGGCGGTCAGTGATTGGACGGTGAGGTTCGGGAGGAGCCGGATCAGTTCGGCAGCACAGCGAATCGAGTAGGTTTGGTTGTATGGGTTGAGCTGGTTACCGAGCATGAGGGCTCGAAAGTCGAAGAGAGAATTGACGACAAAAAGGGGGATGGAGCGAGGGAGGTAGGGCAGGGCGTATTGCGGGAAGAAGCAATGCCACCGCTCACTTGACGAGTGGGCTGCAAGGGGGAGGGATTGGGGGAGGAGAGGATACAAAGGAAGAGTGAGTGAAAGGTGAGTGATTCAGGTGGTGGGGTTAAGCTGGTTGCCGAGCATGAGGGCTCGAAAGTCAAAGAGAGAGTTGACTACAAAGAGGGGGATGGAGCGAGGGAAGTACGGCAGGGCGTATTGCGGGAAGAAGCAATGCCACCGCTCACTTGACGAGTGGGCTGCGAGGGAGGGGGGCGGGAGAGAAGAGGGGAGTGGGAGGGCTGGTTTATTGGCTGCAAGGCTCAATGGGGGAAGGGCAGGGCGTATTGCGGGAAGAAGCAGTGCCACCGCTCAATTGACGAGTGGGATGCGAGCGATGAGGGATGGGGGAGGGGGAAACAAGGGCTGCTTGGTTGGTTGCATGGCTTGAGAAACAAGGTTAGAGATGCCATTGCATTCTCTGGGAGGGTTTTTAGACGACTCAACTTAACACTCTTACCTTGGGTGCACTTGGTGCTGCCAGTGAACTTGTGCAGAGAGACAATGCCAGTCAGAGGCCACTGCATTCCGGGAGGGTAGGTTTGAGACAGCTCGTACCTGCGTGTGTGCAGAGAAAGAAACTCAACTCTCACCTTGGGCGCACTTGGTGCTGCCAGTGAACTTGTGCAAAGCAACAATGTCAGACGCCATTCTCTGAAAGAAAGGCTGGCCATAGCGATCGTTCGAATCTGCAGCAGAGTTGAGAGATTTGTGGGACGGATGAGTGGGGCGGGGAGGGGCAGGGAGGAGTGGCGAGAGGTGGGGAGGGGTGTGGAAGGGTGAGAGGAGGAGAGCAACAGGGAGGGGTGGGGAGGGAGTTTGACAAAGGGTGTGCAAGAAAACAGGTGATGAAACTTGCGCAGAGAAACAACGTAAGAGGCCATTCTCTGAAAGTACGCCTGCCCCATGCGATCCTCGGATACCCCTCAATACCCCTTATCACCGCACTGCACCTCACCTGTGAACGAGCCAGAGTCCATAAGGCATTTGATCTTCTTTACATTCGGTGCACAAGAGTAGTTGTAACTAATACACCACCTAATACCCCTTATCACCGCACTGCACCTCACCTGTGAACGAGCCAGAGTCCATGAGGCATTTGATGGTCTTTGCATTTGGAGCATACTCCCTCATGTGTTCACACAGAGTCAGCACCGTCTGTGCTCCTGCGGATTGGCCTGAAAGGAGGCAAAGGGAAATGCAGGCATGCTGACTGAGTTGACTCAGGTTGACTCAGGTTGACTTGATTGTCTTTACACTCGGTGCATACTAATGCTTGTGTCCACACAGAGTCAGCACGGTCTGGGCTCCTGCTGATTGCCCTGGGACGGAGATGGAAGCAGGGGGAGCAGGAAAATCAGGTAATAAGTTTACTTGAGTTGACTCGAGTTGACTCGATTTGACTCGAGTTGACTCGATTTGACTCGAGTTGACTCGATTTGACTCGAGTTGACTCGATTTGACTTGACCTGACTGCATACTCCTCATGTGTTCACAGAGAGTCAGCACCGTCTGGGCTCTTGCTGATTGCCCTGGAAAGGGGAGGGGAGGGAAAGCAGGAGGGGAGGGGATGGTCATTGCATTCAGAGCATACTCCCTCGTGTTCACACAGAGTCAGCTCCATCTGGGCTCCTGCCGGTTGGCCTGAAGGGGAGGGGACGCAGTGGGCAGGCAGACGGCTTCAGTTGAGTTGACTTGCGTTGACTTGCGTTGGCTCGGTCGCCTTGGCCATCAAAGCATGCTCCTTCAAGCGCTCTCACAGAATCAACTCACACATGACACGACTAAACAATCCTTTTCACCTGGCAACAGCAGCACTTATTGTTACATGGGTACTTCAACACTTCGAAACACACCTGAGAGCAGCACTCCTGCTGCAGACTGCATCCCCTTCCCCTTGCCTCCGTCACATCTTGCATCGCTCTTTGTTACATGGTAACTCCTGACCTATTCCCATTTCCTGAAAGCAGGACCCGTACGGCGGACTGCATTCCTCATGCCTCCTTCACGTCTGTCAACACAGCTTTGATCCCAAAGCTGCCATTCATCCTGACCCAACCTGCTGTGCCAGAGAACCCGCATTACCTGACAGCAGCACTCGTTCGGCGGACTGCATTCCCCTTAACTCCTTCACATCTGCCAGCACCGCTTTGATTCCATTCCACCCGTCCATGTAAATCCCAAAGCTGTCATTCACTCTCGTCCACCCCGCCGTGCCCGAAAAACCCCCTCCATCGCAGTAGATGGGTACGACGAGGTTCCAGTTGCGAAAGGCCTTGTTGATGAACGGACCGGTGCTTAGAATTCCCAGGTAGGCGTATGATGCCTGTAGTGCACGGAAAGCAGGGGTTCACGGGTAGAGAGGGAGACAGTAGATGGGCACAAAGAACGACTTTTGAGGCGCCTCAAAAGTCAGGGGTAGAGAGGGAGATGGTAGATGGGTACAAAGGAAGGACCATCCCGCCGTGCCCGAAAAGGCCCCTCCATCGCAGTAGATGGGCACGACGAGGTTCCAGTTGCGAAACGCCTTGTTGATGAACGGACCGGTGCTTAGAATTCCCAAGTAGGCATAAGAGGCCTGGTGGGGGGAGAGGGTATACAGGGGAGCATGGGAGGGAAGCGGTGGATGGGCACCACAAGGTTCCAGTTGCGGAAAGCTTTGTTGATGAATGGACCCGTGCTCAATATGTCCAAGTATGCATGAGTATGAGAGTGCATTACCGGTTCGGACATCATCCGAAGTTTGCCCACGCGGTGCGCAATTTCCAAAAATGACATTTCAATGTCCGTCCACGCGGTCCGAAGTCTGGACACTCTGCTTTCAGTCGGCCACCGAACGTGCGACCAACGTGCACGTCAATTATCGAACTGTGCGATCGTGCAACAAACCAGTGATTTCAATAAACACAATGTGTTTTGTCCCTATCGTGTTTTGTTGCGGGCTTGTTTCCTCAAATTGTCTGCCCAAACCAAGTAAATTTATCACTTATCGCTTATATACCAAACACACCGACCGAAATTGGCTACCCACGTTTTTTTCACATGCCCGACACCCAGTTTTGGTCGTTAGCAGTTGACGCTACTATTGTGTACTGCATCATTCTCTGATTGGTCGCGAACCCAAGCGACACGCACGACAGTGGTCGCATGCCAGACCCTACCAGATGTCCAAGGTGGGGCCCTGCCCAACGCGGACACCATCCTCACGTCAAAACACCTTCAGGTGGGCAAACTTCGGATGGTGTCCGAACCGGGAATGCAATGTGAGAGAAAAGGGAGAGGGTTCATGGGGAGGGAGGGAGGGAAGGAGATAGGCAATACAAGCTCACTGCTTTCTTTATTGGGCATAAGAAGGTGGTGCTGACTTATGAGACCCTCTGACATCTTCCAGTGAGCAGCAGTGTTTAGGAAGGTGGCGCTGACTTTTGAGACGTCTCCCCAGGGGACCCACTTTTGAGGCGCCTAAAGAGTTGAGTCATCTCAGCGTAAAAGCGATGCTGCAATCAGCACACGAAGAGAGGGAGGAGCACCCGTTGTCTTGACGTCAGCAGTAGAGCCCCCCTTGCTATAAGCCCGCCCGTACCATATCAGACTCACGTTACGGTACGGGTTGTCCTTCTGCATCTCATGCTTAGACGACCCAAGGAAGGTGGTGCTGCGATTCACGGCTCAGTCAAGGCCAGTCAAGGCGGGTCATCAGTGGTCAACGCACTCACGTTACTGTACGGGTTGTCCTTCTGCAGCTCGGGTTTAGAGGACCCAAGAAAGGTGGTGCTGCGATTCGCGCACGCAGAGAGGGTGGAGCACTCGTTGCCGTCGTATCACCAATACAACCCCTCGTTATAAGCCCATAACAAAACACAGTCACATTGCTGTAAGGGTTGTCTTTTTGCAGCTCAGGCTTAGACGACCCAAGGAACGTGGTGCTGCGATTCGCACACGCAGAGAGGGTGGAGCACCAGCCGCCGGGCGGCAGGTGGATGTAGATTTGACCTGGTCAACGCAAGTCAACGCTGGTCAAAAGACTTACATTACTGTACGGGTTGTCCTTCTGCAGCTCAGGTTTAGAAGAACCCAGGAATATGGTGCTGCGATTCGCACACGCAGAGAGGGTGGAGCACCAGCCGCCGGGCGGCAGGTGGATGTGCCACGACGACGCACCATTGCGGAAACCAGGGCGGAAGTAATATCCGGGGGGACTGGGGGGTGGGGGGAGGGATTGGGGGAGAGGAATGGGGGCGAGGGGTGAATATCACAAAAGGCGAGAGGGAGGAGCACCAGTCCCCGGTGGGCGGGTGGATGTGCCACGATAAAGCACCATTGCGGAAACCGGGGCGGAAGTACTATCCAGGGGGACTGCGTGGAGGGGGGCGGGGGAGGGGAAGTGGTGAAAGGGGAGAGAGGGTGGAGCACCAGCCGCCTGGGCGCAGGTGGACGTGCCATGACGACGCACCGTAGCTGTAACCAGGGCGGAAGTAGTAATCAGAGGGGCTGGGGGGTTTGGGGAAGGATGCGGGGGAGGGACGGGGGAGGGATGGGGGATACAAGGCGGTCGAGAGGTGAAAATCACAAAAGGCGGGAGGGGGAGGAGCACCAGCCCCCGGTGGGCGGGTGGATGTGCCATGATGACGCATCGTAGCCAAAACCAGGGCGCAAGTAATATCCAGGGGGGCTGACTTTTGAGTCGACTCAAAAGTCTCCTTTGAGCCGACTCTTATATCCAGGGGGGCTGGTGGAAGTGATGGGAGAACGGGATGAGGGGGGGGGGGGGGGGGGGGGGGGGGAATGCGGGAGAGGGATGGGGGAAAAGGAATTGGGGATAAAAGGGGGCGTGGGATGAAGATCACATAAGACGAGAGGGGGAGGAGCACCAGCCGCCGGGAAGCAGGTGGATGTGCCACGATGAGAGGCCGTTACCGAAACCGGGGCGGAAGTAATACCGGGGAGGGGAGGGGGGGGGGGGGGGCTGGGGGAAAGGGATGGGGGGAGGAGGGGTGATGGGGAGAAGGAATGGGGGGAGAAATGGTTGGATGAATAAAAGGACGAAACGGGGGATACAAGCGGGGCAGGGGAGGAGATCACAGAAGGCGAGAGGGGAGCACCAGCCGCCGGGAGGCAGGTGGATGTGCCATGAGGACAAACCGAACCAGAGCGAAGATAGTACCGGGGGGTGTGGGGGAGGGGGGGATGGGGGGGAGGGGCGGGCTGGGAGGAAGGGGCTGAGACGAGAAAAAAATGGGTGGGGTGGATGGGGGTTGGAGGGGAAGGGGGAGAGAGGGTGCGAAGGGGGGAAGGCTTAAGGGTGTGTAACAGGGTTGGGGGGGGGATCCTACCGCTACCCCCCTCTCTCTCTGCGTGTGTCTGAAAATTGACTTGGGGACCACCGTTACAAGCACGCTCGGTACCGTCAACGCCAGTCAACGCACTCGTACCTTCCGTCGAGGCACTTGGCGTTGTATCGGTTGTTGGGAAGCAACGTTGACAACACGATCGGTACCGTTACCGCAGCTTTTCTCGCGGTTCGCGTCGACTCGATCCCCGCTGTAAGCCGACCCGCTAACGCGAGCAGCAAAACGAGTGCCAGTACGGAAAATCTACGCTGGAAATCGCCGGAAATTACCACGTCTATCCCCGTTACAGCCCTCGGTCTGATTTTTCTACACGTCTGTAATAGCCTCGCTGATCGTCGCCCTTCTACTACTTTATTGTTTGCGTTCGATGATGATAAGGAGGAACTCGAGACAAATGGCATGGATCCCTGTAACGCGCAAATAATCCCTTTAACGAAGAAATTAGCTAATGAAGCGGACGCGATCGAAATTAAATAGGCGAAAATCGGAAATGCTGGTATTTGTAACGTGGATTGGGTGCCACGTTTAGCCGCCATTCGCGGCAGATTAGTTAGCTAAACCAAAATCATGTGCGATTTCGAGCTCTGCAAGCAAGGGCCGGCGATTGATGGAGGAATAGGAGCTGACAGCACGCTTAGAACTAAGAAGGCCGAATGTGCCTGGGAAACGAACAAAGAGGCTTTGATTAGGTGAGAATGTTTTACAAAGGAAAACAGCGCCATACGACATCCGCATGGCATTGGGTGGGTGTGGCGCTAGCTGTAGCGCGGAGGATGGGTGTTGTGATCCTTTCCTAGTTTATGCTCGGTTTGTTATCTTATATTCGGGTTTTTATACGTTACATATAGCTTTCCGTGCGGTTCTGCATTTTTTGTTCATCATTTCTCGTTGTCGGTGTGGCGCGGCGCGGTGTGGGCAGTAGAGGTTGGTGTGATCCATTCGCGCCTATAACGAGGTGTAATGGTCACCACACCAAGACGGACAAAGATAAAACAAAGGCACCAATTATATCTCTAATTACCCTTCCACCAGATTTCCGTACAATTTTCCCTGGTTTCTAGGCAGAGTCGAATGGGGAAACCAAGACCAAAGTGACGAGGCCTTTCGCTCCTAGATGGTGAGTTCGAGAATTTAGACTCACGCAGCATCCAATGAAAATGCTTGCCAGCGAGGAGGAAAACCTACCAGACCTGCCCTTGAAATTGCTAGAGGTTGCCCGGACAAGGTTTGAGTAAATGAAAGTGATAAACACAAACCTAAAATTCCTCCTGCCAGCCGACAGGTCCTGTAAAGGGTACAGCCCACTAGAGCTACCGTAGGTCTGTCTGGAGTTAAACAAAAATACATCAAACGTGCTGAATTACAATCATGCTACTAAATCATCAACACACAACCTTGCCTGACGGGGGGGCACACATTGGCGGCAGGCTCTCAATTATACAATAAATTTGTATCTGCTCTGTACAGTATCACAATAAGGTTGTACTTGCTCTGTACACTACCAAGAAATGGCCATCATTCACTCACTATTTCCCCGAAGTCCTCACTATTATCATCCTCACGATCGTCCCAATCGACCTCTATCTCCACAGTGGCGGCGTGCAGCTTATCCAAGCCTGTGATCCTCTCTAAATACGTGGCATCGTTAAACGCGTCCATGAGGAACGCAAACCCACGCTCCCTGTATGCTGAAACCACCTGCACTGAGGAAGATAATATGAGAGCAGAAAAAAGGATGTGAAGATCATATCAAAATATACACTTTAAAAAACATACATATTAAGATAAATGAATTCGCAATGCTGAATCCTCGCTGTAAGGGAGCAGGCGGCGAACTGGTGGAATGCGAAACCAGTGATGGGTAGCTGAGAGAAGGAGGAGAGGAAGCCACGCAGCTGGTGGGGCAGCGGACCCAGAGGCGAGGAGAGATGGGTGGAGGTGGAAGTGGAGGAGGAGGAGGCAGAAGGAAATCCGTCCGCAGTGGTGTCTTCTGCTGGTGCTGCGATTCTGAGTGGTGGGGGTGGGGGAAGACAGGAGGAGACGAGAGAGGGAATGGGTCACAAGGGCAGGAGGAGCGGGAGTTGTCTTAACACTCTGATGGGAAGGTGGGAGAAGGAGGAGAGGAAGCAACGCAGCTGGTGGGGCAGTGGGCCGAGAGCGGTGAGGAGAGATGGGCAGAGGTGGAAGTGGAGGAGGCGGCAGAGGAGGAAGATGAGATTCCATCAGCACTGGTGTCCTTCAGCTGGTTCGGCGATTTGAGTAAGGAAGGGGAGACGGGAGGACTGGAGAGTGGGAATGAGTGAGAAGCTGGGAGAAAGAGGAGAGGAAGCCACGCAGCTGGTAGGGCAGTGGGCCGAGCGGCGGGCAGAGATGGGCAGATGCAGAGGTGGGATGGGAGGTGGGGGAGTAGGAGGCAGGCGAGTTGCACCAACAGCTCACTCACCTAAGCCTACTAACCAGCTGCCAGAGCCCCCACTATGGATGCCAGCTCACTCACCTGATCCTCACCTGATCCATACAAATACATCCACATACACATGGAACCCTTACAGCCACCTCTTACCCCAGCGGGTGGTGTAACAGCCCCACTAACAGCTCCACTGCCAGAGCCCCCGCTGTGGCTGCCTGCCAGGTCACCACCTGCTCCTTCAACCGCAAACCCCCATACACATTTGAGCCTTACAGCCAAACCTTTTGAGTGCATCATAGTGTACTCTGTCACCTCCTATTACATTAGAACCTTTACCCGAGTGGGTGGTGCAGCAGCCCCACTAATAACTCCACTGCCAGAGCGCCCGCTATGGCTGCCAGCTAGATCACCTGCTCCTTGGACCCGAAGGCACTGAACCCCCATACAAGTTGGACCCTTGTGTGTTACAGCCGAATCTTACCCAAGCGGGTGGTGCAGCAGCCCCACCAATAATTCCACTGCCAGAGCGCCCGCTATGGTTGCCAGGCCAGGGCGGGTGACTGTGCACTGCTGCTCTAGCGTGCGATGAGCCGTGGACTGGCGGGGACGGAAATACGGGAATGGGTAGAGAAGTAATTGCTGTGGTGGACGGGAAGATGGGCACGGGAAGCAACAGTGCAAGAGGTTGGGGTAGGGTTAGGTGAGGTGCAGAGGAAATGGCGGAGAGGTTGATATAGAGGGGCAACAGTGCAAAGGACACGAGGGGAGGGCAGCTCCCCTCAATGGGGAGGGGAGGGGAGGGCAGCTCACATTGAGGGGAGAAACGACATAGTTACAGAAGTAGCAGCCAAGCGTGTATGTGGTGTGGGGTGTGTGGAGGACTGCGGCAGGGCAGGGTGGTCGTCGTGGGTGGTTGTGGGAAGCTGGTTGCTGGTGGCACTGAGGGCAACAGTGTAGAGGATATGAGGGTAGGGTAGCTCACATTGAGGGGAGCAACAACATCGTTGCAGAAGTAGCAGCCAAGGCGCTTGGATGGCGCTGACTCAGATGCTGCTGGTACTGACTCAGACGCTGCTGGTGCTGACTCAGAGGATGCTGGTGCTGACGTGGCATGCAGAGGCAGCGGCGGTGCCCCGTGGCGCATGACAAGGAAGGAGTCGAAGCCGAGAGCCGCATTAATGGCCACCTGAGAGGGGTGTGGTGCGGTGTGGAATTGTGGAGTGTGGCATGGTACGGTAAGTAATGGTGGTGCCCTGTGGCGCATGACGAGGAAGGAGTCGAAACCGAGAGCAGCATTGCTGGACATCTATGAGTGAGGGGTGTGGCATGGTGGGGTGTGGTGTGACACAGTAAGTAATGGTGGTATGGTATGTAAGGGAGTGCAGGTGCCCCGTGGTGCATGGCAAGGAAGGAGTCGAAGCCAAGAGTAGCATTGATGAGGGGGACGGCATTTAGTTGGCGCACCAGTGCCAGCTTCCATGGCTTCCACCTGAACCTAACCCTTCCCCACCCTCCACCCCCTTTTCCTCCACCACCTTCCCCCTCACTTTCCCCTCAGCCGCGCACAGCAGGTTCGGCAGCCAGCGGCTATGGTAACGAGTTGACTTTTAAGTCGACTCAAAAGTCACCTCGTTACCATGGCACACCACGCACAGCAGGGTCGGCAGCCAGCGGCTCTCCCTCAGGCTCCCACTCACCTCAAAGTTTTACCCCTGCAGTTTTTTTTTTACTAATTATTTAAATCCTAAACCTAAACTGGCCCCTCACCTTCCCCTCAGCAGCGCACAGCAGCGTGGGCAGCCAGCGGCTCTCCCGCGTGTCGGTGAGAAGGAAGACGGCGTCTGATTGGCGGATTAGTGCCAGCAGGGCTGCCACGTCAGCCTGCACACGTGGTGCCGGAGGGCGACATGGGGTGGCCTGGCATGGGAATGGCGAGGCGATAGCCGGATGTGTGCTGGAAGAAAGGGTGGGGGTAGGAAAATAGGGTGATGAGGGGATTCACGGTTCAAGGTCCAAGGTTCAGAATTCAGGGGTTCAGGGTTTAGGGTCGGCTGTTGGAGGGGAATGGGATGTTGGAGGGTCGAGGAAGTTGCGAATACACGAGGATGGGGGGACGGGGAAAGCAAGTGCAAGTTTTTTCGGAAAAACTTGTTAAAACAACTTGTGTGTCAAGAGGGTGGGATGGGGAAAGCTTCTGACGAATTGAAGCTGGTGCAAGAAGTTGTTGCACTTACATAAATCATTAAAATCATTAAAATCCCACATTTACAGCAGTGGAGAATGTTTCCTTTCTGCTGCTGCCTGTGTATTTGGAACGCTGCCATTCAGGCAGTGCTTGAATGTGCTTTATCTTACTGGCTTTTAACATCAGCACCCCACCACACCACACCCCACCACACCACACCACACCACACTCACAGCAGTGAGAAGTATTCCCTTAAGTGCATCTGCTGCTGCCTGCGCCTTTGGAGCGCCGCCATTCAGGCAGTGCTTGACAGAGAAAGGGGATTATAAAAACATGTGTTAAATCACACACTTACGGCAGTAGGAAGTATTTCCTTGAGTGCGTCTGCTGCTGCCTGCGCCTTTGGCATGCCGCCATTCAGGCAGTGCTTGACAGAGAAGAGGCACTGCCGCACAGGGTTAGAATACGAAAACGCCCCGTAGTCCACGAGGGTAATGTCGCGGATGCCCCATGCCTGGAGGGTTTAATTTAATCAAGGGGGAGCGGTGGGATGGCAAGCAACAACCATGTGACAAAAAGTACTCAAATGTCCAAGGGGGAGCGGTGAGAATCTCAGTAGCAAGAGGCTTGCAAATTCGTTTCAAATGCTTCAAATCACCGAAAAGCTTCGAAACCTTTGAGGCGCTCCGAAGCAGGCAGGTGCGGGCTTCATTCGTTCCCCCACACCTTTCTCGAGCAAGCAAACAACCTGACACCCGAGAGAGTGCCAGCCAGCCCCAAGCAGCAAGCACCTAGTTCCATTCAGCCGCTCCAGCTGCAGCTGTGGCAGCACACGCCACCTCATCAAAATTCGACTGAGAGGCTTTTGGAGGGAGGCTTTTCCTTACCAGGAGAGAGCGAGCAACTTGGCAACCAAGGGTGCCAGCCCCTAGAAGTTTGAGTTCAATCGCTCCAGCTGCAGCTGGGGCAGCACGCGCCACCTCATCAGCTTCAGGTTGAGCGACGATGCCCCACTGAAGAGAGGCTATTAGAAGGAGGGCCTTTCCTTACCAGCAGAGAGCAAGCCACTTGGCAACCAAGAGTGCCAGCCCCCAATAGTAGACACTTGGTTGAGTTCAATCGCTCCAGCTGCAGCTGTGGCAGCACGCGCCACCTCATCAGCTTCAGGTTGAGCGACGATGCCCCACTAAAGAGAGGCTGTTGGAAGGAAGAATCCCCTTACCAGCAGAGAGCGAGCAAGTTGGCAACCAAGGGTGCCAGCCCCTAGAAGCAAAACATTTTGTTGCATTCAACCACTCCACCTGCAGCTGTGGCAGCACGCGCCACCTCATCAGCTTCAGGTTGAGCGATGCCGCCTCGTCTGCCAGCCTGGCAGGATCCATCAGCAGCGCCAGGTCAGCACACCGAGCTCCAGTTCTCCCTTTGGCGTTCAGTTCCCAGCCAGTGGCGGATGGACATGTGGCAGTTGCTGTGAGAGGGTCCAGCCAATCAGCTGCGAGGGGGAAGAGTGAGTGACAATGGCGCCAGTGAAAAGGGGCAAGGGCAGATGAAATAGCAAAGCCCTCAGAGGGAAGCAGGAAAAAGAGTACTCGCAAGGAAAAAGAGAGTACTCACAATGAGAGTACTCGCAAACAACTCATGATATTTTGGAACGCCTATCGGAGGTGGCATCTGGTCAAGACTGATGGAGGTGTTATCTGTGAGGGAGGTGGCATCACTTGCCTGGGGGAGGTGGTATCTGGACGTGCAGCAGCAGTGAGTGGTGCAGGCTAATCCGACCGTGGCTCTGCCGCAGGCAGAGCACATGGAGGGAGGTGACCTGGGAAGGGATAGAGAGGGGGGTATGGCACGGCACGGAGAAGTTTAAAGCATGCAGAGTGGTTGTGATTGGAGAATGGTCAGAAGGTGAGTGGTGCAGGCTGATCCGACCGTGCCGTTGCCGCAGGCAGAGCACATGGAGGGACGTGGCCTGGGAGGATAGAACACGGGAATATTACGGTGTGAAGGAGGGGGGAAGGAAGGGTGGGGTAGGCAAGGGGGGAAAATGGTAAGACGTGAATGCTTTGGAGGAGGAGGAGGAGGAGGAGGAGGAGGAGGAGGAGGAGGAGGAGGAGGAGGAGGAGGAGGAGGAGAAACATAAGAGTACTGACCTGCCATCGGAGGGACGCTAGGAGGAGCAGGTTGCGGCAAGGCTGTAAATACGAATACGAGTACGAATACGAGTCATGCAATCTTCGATTTGTCGAATAGCTCCACTGATTTGTATTTGATCGAATTGTGGCTCTATCACGAATACAAATACGAGTCGAATATGCACGAGTACGAATCGAATACGAATGTAAACGAGTAGGGGTTTGTCGACCCAGATATTTATGTTGTATACTAACATTTTCCTGTTTTGTTTGTGCAGGTACACCGAATCTCAAAAACACATTCACCTTTTCGTTGTAACGATGTTTGTACGGTAGTTGTTGTTACAATTGCATTGTGAACCACCTAGTGTATTCTTTAATCAATCATTTACACCCACTGCACATTATGCATCCTATCTGTACTATCCGGGCTGACAATTGTTACGATCGGAAAGGGATCGTCACCTAGGATCGTCTCAGGAAGGTTCGCACAGAGTGGTACAGTGGTGGTGGGCTTTTGACCTCAATTCAGAGTGAATGTAAAATGAATGAGATGATTAAAACATGCAAATACAAAGATATAAATAGTAGTACAAGGGAATATGAAACGACCTAGCTAGCCATGTACTCTAAGGGGTGTCAAACTTATATATGCTATAGTCTGTTTAGGCTGTAGTGGGGTAGTCCTTAGAGGGTACAACACTTTTGTGTTTGCTACTTGTACCCCACCTGTTTCCTAGTTCATTCATTCCTCTCATGATTCTCACATGGTATAGAGCTGGTTCGAGTTTTTTTTTAGGGCCCACCACTACAATTTTTTTTTTCCTTACTTGCCCGAGGCGCGTGTCGCGTTTGTCCTAGCAGCGCCCTCGCGCCTGCCCTTCGAGGCCCTTAGTGGCCCGTAGCTGCCCCTTCGCAGCCCTTAGCGGCCCCACTTAAGGCCCTTCGCGGCCCCTCTTCAGGCCCTTCGCGGCCCCTCTTAAGGCCCTTCGCGGCCCCTCTTCAGGCCCCTCGCGGCCCCTCTTAAGGCCCTTCGCGGCCCCCCTTTAGCGACCCGTCGCGGCCCTTCGCGGCCCCTCTAACGGCCCTTCGCGGCCCCGTCACGGCCCTTCGCGGCCCCGTCACGGCCCTTCGCGGCCCCTTTAGCGACCCGTCGCGGCCCCTCGCGGCCCTTCGCGGCCCTTCGCGGCCCCTCTGACGGTCTGTCGCGGCCCCGTCACGGCCCTTCGCGGCCCCTTGAGCGGCCCGTCGCGGCCCTTCACGGCCCTTCGCGGCCTCCCTCTGACGGCCCGTCGCGGCCCCTTCTCGCCCCCCCCCCCCCCCTTCCCGGCTCTTCCGGCCCCAACTGACGCGCCCCAGCTGGCGCGCCCCCGGCCGGCTCCTGCTAACGATCTCCTGCCGGCCCCTGCTGGCGCGGCCCCTCCTGGCGCGCCTCTGCCGGCCCCTGCTGACGCGCTCCTACTGGCGCGCCCCCGGCCGGCTCCTGCTGACGATCCCCTGCCGGCCCCTGCTGGCGCGGCCCCTCCTGGCGCGCCTCTGCCGGCCCCTGCTGACGCACTCCTACTGGCGCACCCCTGCCGGCCCCTGCTGACGTGCCTCTGCCGGCCCCTGCTGACGCGCCCCTGCCGGACCCTGCTGACGAACCCCTGCTAGCGCGGCCCCTGCAGTCACGGCCCGCCCCTGCACCTGTCTCTGGTAAGCCGAGCCGCGCCGCCCAGCCGAGCCGCGCCGCCCGGCCGAGCCGCGCCGCCTAGCCGAGCCGCGCCGCTGCTGCTACTACTGCACTGCTGCTACTGCTGCTACTGATGCTACTGCTGCTCCTCTTGCTACTGCTCCTACTGCTGCTATGGCTAGTCCTACAGTTCTCACCTTTGACTCTGAGGGACGTGCAATTGACTTTGACGTATGGGTTGATGACCTACAGCTCTTTCTTCAGTGTGATTCTAGGGATGGGGTATCCCTTTTCGATCACACGTCCGGTGGTTCCACTGCTCCTGCTGCCACTGCTGATAGTACTGTTCGCTCGCAGTGGACCACTCGTGACGCTGTTGCTCGTCTTGCTGTTCGTAGTCACCTGCCACCTGCTGAGCGTGCGCACTTTGGCCAGTACAAGACTGCTCAATCTTTGTACGACGCTGTAGTTGCACGCTACTCCTCCCCTGCCACTGCTGCCCTCAGCCGCCTCATGCTGCCGTACCTTTTCCCTGACGTTGCTGCCTTTGCCACTGTCGCTGACCTAGTTGCTCACCTTCGCACTAGTGACGCCCGCTACCGCGCTGCCCTTCCCACTGAGTTCTGTGCCAAGAACCCCCCCCCCATGTACATCACCCTTTACTACCTAGTCACCCGCATCCCTGACTCTCTCTCTTCAGTCAGGGACCACTTTCTCTCCCTTTACCCCACCGAGCTGACTGTCTACTTGCTAGAGGAGCACCTTGCAGCAGCTGAGAAGAGTATCTTAGCTGTAGGTGCTTCTCGCGGCGACCATCGCACCCCCTTCTTTGAGGGGTGTTCCCCTGTCCCCCTTCTCCCCTCTGTTGCTTCTGCTGCTGCTGTCGAACTCGTTGGCACTGAGGAGGTCGGCGCTGCGTCTGCCTCTAGTGGGAGACGCCGCACCAGCAAGGGCAAGGGGAGCAAGGGTGGTGGAGGGGGCGGCGGGGGAAGCAGTGTAGGAGGTGGAGGCGGCGGAGGAGGTGGAGGTGGTGGTGGGGGTGGTACCGGGAGTGGGGGCTTTAATGGCGGCGGTGGAGGTCGTGGCGGCGGTGGCGGAGGTGGAGGCAGCGGCAGCGGTGGTGGAGGTAGCGGCGGAGGTGGTGCTGGTCGAGGTGCAGCCGCGCAGCGTGGAGGCTTTGGTGGCAGCCAGCGCCAGCGGCAGCTGCGCACCCGTGAGACCCCGTCGGTTCAGCAGCTTCGTGAGTGGTACGCTGGGCGTGGGAGGTCTGGGGGTGCAGGTCCCTGCACTTACGTTCTTCGCACCGGCACTCGTAGTGGGGAGGTGTGTGGGCTCCCACACACCACGCAGCGCTGCTTTGGTCGCTTGACTGACGCTTGGCGTACCCAGTTTCCTGACGCCGTTGAGCTTCCTTGTTGGCATGATCTGCTTCTGCAGAATGTGCCTATCTTTGATCTAGACTTTGATGCTATCCTTGCTGCCATGTATGCTCTTGCTGATAGTGCTGAGGGTGACTATTACCTGAGTGTCCCGCCCGACCCGGGCATTGCGGCTGCTGCTCTAGGTGCTAGTGCGTCTGCTGCTCCAGGTACTAGTGCGTCTGCTGCTCCAGGTGCTGGTGCGTTTGCTCTCTCTGGTACTGCACCTACTGAGTCCTTGCACACTTTCACACTTGACTCTGGTGCTTCGCGCTCTTTCTTTAGAGACAGCACCACGCTCACGCCGCTCAGTCGGCCTGTTGCGGTCTCCCTTGCTGACCCCTCCGGGGGCCCAGTCCTTGCACACTCCTCCACAGTTCTACCGTGTCCTGCGGCCCCGTCGGGCTTGCTGTCGGGTCTCCACCTCCCCTCGTTCTCTACGAACTTGGTGAGTGGAGCTGACCTCCAGGACGCGTGGGTTGACCAGTTCACCCCTGGAGGTCAGCGTGTGACCCACTGCACTTGCTCTCGGACGGGCCGCCACCTGGCCACGCTCACCCGTCGGCCAGGGTTGAGTCTGTACACACTGACTACTGCGCCTCCTCCGGTCCCTGCGTCTGGTCAGGTAGCTGCGTCTAGTCAGGTGTTTGCTGCCGTGTCCAGGTATAGTCCTGCGTCTGCCCCCTGCTCGTGTCGTCCTCTGGCGCACGAGACTCTTGTTTGGCACCACCGCCTTGGTCACCCCTCCCTGCCTCGTCTTCGAGGTATGGCCTCCCGTGCTCTTGTCTCTGGGCTCCCCAGGTCCCTCCCTCCCCTTCCTCCGGGGCCTGCCCCCACCTGTGTTCCTTGTGTCGAGGGCCGGCAGCGCGCCGCTCCTCACTCCTCCTCGTTCCCTCCGACTGAGGCCCCTCTGCAGACTCTTCACATGGACGTGTGGGGCCCAACCCGCGTCCGTGGACAGGGTCACGAGCGCTACTTCCTGCTGGTCGTTGATGACTACTCGCGTTACACCACAGTCTTCCCCTTGCGCAGCAAGGGTGAGGTCCCTGAGGTGTTGATCGACTGGATCCGCGGTGCTCGTCGCCAGCTCAGTGAGAGTTTCGGCTCAGACCTTCCTGTTCTGTGTCTGCACTCCGACAGAGGTGGTGAGTTTTCCTCCGACCTCCTGAGGGCCTTCTGTCGTGCGGAGGGCATCCGCCAGATGTTCACGCTTCCGGCCTCCCCACAGCAAAATGGGATTGCTGAGCGCCGCATTGGCATGGTCATGGACGTCGCTCGTACGTCCATGATCCATGCAGCTGCTCCCCATTTTCTGTGGCCGTTCGCGGTTCAGTACGCTGCGCATCAGATCAACCTTCAGCCTCATGTCTCCTTGCCGGAGACCACACCTACTCTGCGGTGGACGGGGAAGGTTGGCGATGCGTCCGCGTTCCGTGTCTGGGGATCTCGAGCTTTTGTCCGCGATACTACAGCGGACAAGCTGTCCTCCTGTGCCGTTCCCTGTGTCTTCCTTGGCTTCCCTCCTATTGCACCCGGGTGGCAGTTCTACCACCCCACCTCGCGTCGTGTTCTGTCCTCTCAGGACGTCACGTTTGATGAGTCGGTGTCGTACTACCGTCTCTTTCCCTACCGCACTGCCTCTCCCCCCCCCCCCGCCGCTCTTCCTGGCACCAGGTACTCCCCCGGTAGACCCCCTCCCCCCTCAGGGTCCTGCCCCCTCAGTTGTGTCCCAGGTAGACCCTGCCGAGCCGGTCGAGGAAGCTGTCGACTCAGGTGCTGAGTCTGGGGGTGCTGAGCCTGCGGGTGCGGGGACTGGGGGTGCGGAGTCTGGGGGTGCTGAGTCTGGGCGTGCTGAGCCTGGGGGTGCTGAGCCTGGGCGTGTGGAGCCTGAGGGTACTGTGTCTGGAGGTACTGAGCCTGCGCGTGCTGAGTCTG